GGGGGGGGGGGGGGGGGGGGGGGGGGGGGGGGGGGGGGGGGGGGGGGGGGGGGGGGGGGGGGGGGGGGGGGGGGGGGGGGGGGGGGGGGGGGGGGGGGGGGGGGGGGGGGGGGGGGGGGGGGGGGGGGGGGGGGGGGGGGGGGGGGGGGGGGGGGGGGGGGGGGGGGGGGGGGGGGGGGGGGGGGGGGGGGGGGGGGGGGGGGGGGGGGGGGGGGGGGGGGGGGGGGGGGGGGGGGGGGGGGGGGGGGGGGGGGGGGGGGGGGGGGGGGGGGGGGGGGGGGGGGGGGGGGGGGGGGGGGGGGGGGGGGGGGGGGGGGGGGGGGGGGGGGGGGGGGGGGGGGGGGGGGGGGGGGGGGGGGGGGGGGGGGGGGGGGGGGGGGGGGGGGGGGGGGGGGGGGGGGGGGGGGGGGGGGGGGGGGGGGGGGGGGGGGGGGGGGGGGGGGGGGGGGGGGGGGGGGGGGGGGGGGGGGGGGGGGGGGGGGGGGGGGGGGGGGGGGGGGGGGGGGGGGGGGGGGGGGGGGGGGGGGGGGGGGGGGGGGGGGGGGGGGGGGGGGGGGGGGGGGGGGGGGGGGGGGGGGGGGGGGGGGGGGGGGGGGGGGGGGGGGGGGGGGGGGGGGGGGGGGGGGGGGGGGGGGGGGGGGGGGGGGGGGGGGGGGGGGGGGGGGGGGGGGGGGGGGGGGGGGGGGGGGGGGGGGGGGGGGGGGGGGGGGGGGGGGGGGGGGGGGGGGGGGGGGGGGGGGGGGGGGGGGGGGGGGGGGGGGGGGGGGGGGGGGGGGGGGGGGGGGGGGGGGGGGGGGGGGGGGGGGGGGGGGGGGGGGGGGGGGGGGGGGGGGGGGGGGGGGGGGGGGGGGGGGGGGGGGGGGGGGGGGGGGGGGGGGGGGGGGGGGGGGGGGGGGGGGGGGGGGGGGGGGGGGGGGGGGGGGGGGGGGGGGGGGGGGGGGGGGGGGGGGGGGGGGGGGGGGGGGGGGGGGGGGGGGGGGGGGGGGGGGGGGGGGGGGGGGGGGGGGGGGGGGGGGGGGGGGGGGGGGGGGAGAATCGCGGCTTCAAACCCATCTGCGTGCTTTGCTGGCAGCACCCCGGAACTTCGGGGGAGCGCGTCAAGCGCCGGGCGTTGGGAGAGGCTTTCGTCAACGAGCCCTCTAGTGAAATACAGATACGAGACATGTCCTCGGGTGTGCGGGCTATTTATAGCAGCTGGCTCATGGTGCTCGCCATTCCTCTGGCGCTGGGTATGTGAACTGTGCATAAACAACTGCCCTTTTATCAGCTCCGAAGGCCTGGCCTCTGACGCCTGGATGACTGATCTTGGTGGATTATTGTGTTGCCATCTCAGCTGTGGAAGGAAAGGCCACCAGCACCCTTTATTATTGGGTCAGCTTCCTAACCGAAAACTTGTGTCATTTCTTCCCAGCAATGAGCCACTTGTCAGGAATAGCAGAACATTTTCCACTGCGAACTCAAAACTCATCCCTTGGCTGATGCACCCTTATTTTAATGGTGCTATGAGGATTTACAGCAATAGCAGGTCCCTAATTTTTCATTTATTTTTTTCCCGTGGTGTTGCACACCCTTTTTCTGTATGCGGACAGAAGTTGCTTTTGCTCTCCCTTAAGTGCTTCCCTCGGTCAGACCTCCTGTGGTCCACCTACATATTCAGTCCAGAATACACCTTACTCAGGGAAGGGAGAATATAAAACAAGAGCCCTGGTGGAGGATTGATACTTTAACCTTCAGGTTCTTGCTTCTGTACTTTCAGATATGTTGGGCCTTACTTGAGTTAGCAGTCACAGGAAACTGCAGGAGTTACTCTAAAGCAGCCCCGATAGATCTAATTCTGTCTTGAGGGCACAGGGTTACCTTAAATGACCTCTTAGGATCCCTTCCAGCCTTACTTATTACTCCATTACATTGCGCTGTTAACCCCATCATATTTATGGGTACAAAAGACAGGATAACCACTCATGCACAAAGAAAAAAAGACACTGAAAGGTGACAGACCAGGTACTTGAGCATTCATCTCCCTTCCAATCCTAGCAAGCTCTTCCTCACACTGTATATAGCCCACCCTTGGATGCCTGCACCTGCCTCCCTGCAGGGCAAGCAGGGATGCTGTCAATACGCTTCAGATCAGCTTGTGCCCCAAATAGCACATGTCCCAAAGGCACACTTAGCTGAGAACATTAGCGCATTCATACCAAGAACATCGCCCAGCCTCTCCCAGTGTGCTCTCTTCCTGGCATACTTGATAGAGAAATCACAAAAGCAGTCACGCAGCCTATTCTTCCGTCTGCTCTTGTTTATTTTCCCTGGGCTTTGTATTAATTTGGACACAGGAGTTTTTTGATAGAAAATGACAAGACAAGCGCTGGAGGTATGGTGTGCTGTTCCTGATAATCACCCATTGAAAGCTAATGGCACTTCTGTGCTTCCACTCCAGTGATTCATTAAGGAGCTGGAGTGGCCGTTGTCTGGGAAAAGGCCTGATTTGGACACTTCTGTCCTTGCTAATTTGTTAAAGTCAAGTTAAAACATTCCGCTTGGAGCTTAACAGATGTGGCTTTATTACTTGCTAAGTATTTTCTGGAAGGTTTGAAGTTCAGAGAAGAAATTGTTGGAAAATAGGAGAAAAATTAACAAGATGTCCCAGCCTTTGATTTTCCTCTTCTTCAGCACAGCTTGAATTAAGAAGGTCCCCTTGATTTCAGACCAACTCAACTCATTGAGAACTGAGGGGCTTTGAGCTGTTTCTTCATAGAGTTCTTCATCCAGAGTAGTTTGTGCGTGGTCCAGATACCTCAACTTCCAGTGCCATCTTTTAAAGAGTTAAAAACACTTGTTCAGGATGATCATGAGCTTTCAAAATCCTGTCAGGTATACTCTGGATACTGCAGATGAATCATCACTTTGTGTCCCTTGTGGTCTGTTGTAAAACGTGGCAGTTCAGTGCAGCTCAGGGGATGTGCGGTGTTACAGCAGCAGTGCCCAGGGAAGCACCCGGGATGCTTGGCTGAGTCCGAACTGGTGAAGCACTGTGGCAAAAATGTCCTTGGGAGGAATTTTGTGATGTCTTCTCAGTCCTACCAATACAGTTTTAAACCAAGAGTGTCTAAATTACAGGAAAATAAATGGTTGTTTCATACAGGCTTTGCGCCTTGGGAACTGCATTTGGATGGTGTCTTGCAAGGAAAACGAGAAACATCTCACAGTTCATGGAAGAGCTCAATAGAGTACATTTTCAGAGCTGCCTAATAAGAAGTTTGCCTGAGGGGAGTCCTGGGACATTGGCAAGACATCCCCGGTCCGTTTTGCTGCATTCAGGCTGTTTTATCCCCCTTTTGTGATGGGGTGGCAGCGGAGACACAGAGGTGTGAGGCAGCTGTGCCTGGTCCCCGCGCTCGTTCTGCAGCAGTGCAGGAGCTGGGTGGTTGTCCTCCCTCCTGTCTGCAGAGAGCTGTGCAGGGTTCCCAAAATACCTTACTGCTGCTGGCAGTGGGGCAAGCATGGAAATTGAATCAATGTGTTCGATGTGAAGCACAAGAGCTGGTTCCCTTGGTGTGGTGCAGACAGGTCTATACGGGAGAGCCCAAGTTTTGCAGGGGAGAGCAGGCATCCCTTGCACAGTCCTCTTACATTTGGTATATTCTCCCTCTCTGCCTCACCAGACAGCAGCAGAAGCTAATGGGTTCTTCCTCTGTGGTTGATACATCCTTATCCAGCTGTTTCTAGCTTAGCTATGTTGAGTAATTAAGCAGGAGTGTCTACTCCAGATGGAAAACCAAGAGTCAGGTCCTGAAGATAATGGAACTTAAAATACAAAGCGCTGCTGATACTGATTGTGCATGTTGCATCTACTTGCCTACTAGTTTTTCAGCCATAGAGGTTTATGGCTTCAAGCTTCATCTCATACCACTGAGGGCTAGAACCTTGCTTTGTTTTTTTAAAGCACTGAGGAAAGACATGCAGGTAGCTGACTCCAGGAGATGGGAATTGAAAGGAAACTGTTCTACAGCTGCCTGGTGAGCCATGAGTGTTTGTGGGACTGTGATGTCCCCTTTCTTGACAGTTGCCCTGTACGAGTGAGATTCCTTCCCCACAGCCCTAACGTCGCAGCCTTCGCTGCATCAAGCTTCAGTTCTCCCCTTTACAAATTTAGGGCCTAGGGGGACATTCATCCCACTTGGGTTTGCATGGCACTTGACCAGCATTTCTGTTGTTTATACACCGGGGACACACGTTCTCTGCACAGGGCAGTGCCCGTGTCCCATGCACGGCAAGGGGAGCCTTGGAACAGCTGTCACAGAGCAGGTGTACCCATGGATGCTTCTACTCATTGTCCCCCCTTTGACCACCTCTCCTGCAGCCTTCCAAGTCAGACCTTCTCAAAAAATGTTCTCTGCTCATCACTGAGCTCCCGGTGCCCCTGCAAAACCATATTCCATTATGCTTGTGGGAAATCTGCAGGATCAGATCCCTTGGTGGGATGTGGGTCTGAAATCTCTGTCCTGCACATGGATACGTGCTGGATGGTAGCACATTTTTAAATAATTCGCTGCACTCTAATCTCCCGCCTGCAGGAGCCAAGTAAATTGATCCTATACTTTCTGAGCTAAGCTTAATCTTTTATTGTCCAGCCAGCGTAGCTCACAGAACCGCAAGCTCCATTTTCACTGCAGACAATTGCAAGCACCAAAAGTGGGAATCACTGCTGGTAGAAAGTGCAGGTTTTATGGGTTTCCCCTTTGCCATTTTGATCTAGATGACATCATAAAACGCCACAGGAAAGAGCAAACAGATGCCAGCGCCGCAGGGGACAGGAGAAGGCAGCAGGTCAAGAACAGGAATTCGGCATATGGGTACGGGCGGCCCCGTTTCCATGCGTGGATGCAGAGGAATTTGCAAGGTAGGTGAGCGCCTTGGGACAGTGTAGACCTGCCAATCTGGAAAACACGTTTGTATAACAAAACGCATCTCTTAAATCCTTCTCCTGTCTAATTCCTGTGTGCGTATAAGATGTACTCGGGCTCTGAATAGCTTTTCTCTCTGCAACAATGGACTATCAGGGCCCTTTCAGAGCATAAATTCATCCATTTCTCTCCCTTCCACCCTCTCATGAATTACTAATTCAAAGTGACTTAATATCTATTCTCTATTCCCTTTTGGCTTTGCATATTTTAATTATGCCTCTTCCTAATCCTCTTTTTCCCAGAACACACTTAAATTACCCCTTCAGTAACTGTCTTTGATAGCTCAGTTATTGGAGCTAATTTGTCACTTTTGCCAACCATGCTATTTTTATGATGAGTTTTTTTTATAATACTGAATGATCACACACTAATCTATGTTTGGTTCCACTAGCTTTTATCTACAAAACCAAAGTGATCTGCTGTGTGAAATGCAATCTCTATCAGAGTGTGTTTTTTTTAAAAAAAAACCTTACTGCTAAATCACTTCATTGAAGATTTTAGTGACATTTTGCAGCAGTGTCTTTACAGTCTTCCCTTGAGGTGCCAGTGGCACATCAGGACAGTGGGACTGCTGGGAGCAATCCTGCTTGTCTCCAGTCTGCCTCCCACTCTCATGTTCTTGGTCTCCACCACATATTGCCTTAGCAAGAATTGTTCCAGTTCAGAACAGAATGATAATAATTACCCTTTGCAAATTGATTTTTCTGTCAAAAAAGGCTTTGATACTCTTCCACACTCAAGCGACTACTGCATGCAGAGTCAAATAAATCAAGCAAAATATTTTTTTAGCTATCCTTAGAGTGGAGAGCTTTTCTGTTCATTTATAGAATTATTTCTGCTAGTTTTAGTATTTCAGAGGTTTTTAACTGAATCTGAATTCAGTCCTGCCAAGTGCAGAGACCCACCAACTGTGTGGTGCTGATGTCAGTAGCAATTTTGGGAAGCTCAGCATGATTGCGAATTTAGCCCGTAATTCTTCAGGGGCTCATTTCACTTCAGTCCCTGCTGAAATGCAGTCTCTTCTGGGCTGAGATGTGATAACCATTATCAAAATGACGATCAGAACAGCCTAGCACTGTAATGACAGAGGATGGAGAAGGCTATTATGCTGATTAAACCAGCAAGAGAATTCATGCAAGCGAAGTGCTGTTATCCCTCCTGGAATATGGATTCAACCATCTCCCCAGTGGGGGAAAGATGATTTTTAATGACAAGAAATTTGAATTTCAAATCTTCTTGGAAAAAGAGTCTGTCAGACATCAGGGCTTCTCCCCAAACTGGGCTTGCTGGGCAGAGGTGCTTCTTGGCCAACCCAGGTGTGCTCAGCACCAGGCTCTGAGCATGAACCCGAACACGGTGGGGGTCTTCCCTGGCTGCTGATGCTGTGGGGTTTTATTCAAATGTTCTTTCATTAATAAATATGTGCCAGACTTTTTGCAGAGATGGAGCCTCCCATCTGTCACACTTCAGGATACATGACAGACCGAGGCCTTGGTCCCCAGCTGGTGTACACAGGGTACCCCTTGGAGGCTGATGGCTCCGTCGTTAGTTATTTACACTGGCTGAGGTGTGCCTGAGCGCACCGCTGAGCAGAGGCTCTCTAATATGAACTGACTGACAGGGGCATGATTTTCTAGTCAGGGCTGCCTTTTGCATCAGTCCCTCCCACTGCACCGATGAAATGCCCAGGAAAGGCGGCTGAGCTCAGTCTGTCTTGCTGCAGAGGAGATGCCCTCTCCAGGGTGCAGGAAGGCTGTGTTGCAAGGCTTGGTGGCCCGCAGGAGCACCATCTGGCAAACAGGCAAGAGAGAGGGGCAAGCCCAGGGTGGTGTTGAAGGAAACAAGAAGGGGAAAAAGAAACTGTGGGGACAGAACCAGAAGGGGAAAAAGCGCCATTAAACACAGCGAGACCACGTCTGGTCAAAATGACACAGAGTGCCAAAATTCACGTGTTTGTCAAGAGAGGAATATTTACACACCTGCACTGATGAGAAGGCATCATTTGCAAATAAAATAACTACTGGCCCCACAGAACTTGTGAGCAGCATTTTTGTGAGGATTCCCAACCAGCATCTCCAGCCGTCAGGAGTGAAGCACCCTTATGAGCTGTCTCTGAGGTGCTTCCCATGGGCATGCCCTGGTGCCCTTTTGTTTTAGAGCTAGAGCAGCTCAAATCATCTTCACTCTATTCCAGCGTAACCCGCACATGCCGGTGCTGACCGGTGTTACACCCTGGGGCTGGAGCCTTCATTAATCACTGCGGTGGTGGCCCCTGATAGCGATGTCACCGCTGCCTCAGAACATTTCATTTCTAATTGCTCCAAGTCATTATAAATTGCTGTGAAGTAGGAATCGATGGTGTAGGATCAATACATGTGTCTAACTGCTCTGTGGTTTGTATCAGTGCGGTGCTGCTGTATGGTCCAGGGTTTAACCGCACTCTTGCCGCTCTCTGCCATGCACTGCCTTGTGCCTGATTTATACACCCCTCTGAGTATGTGTGCACATTTCACTGCTATAGCGGCTCAGAATAGGTCTACTTCGTTAGGACTGCAGAAGTTTATCATGTGGAGTAATTAGGCTTTAATGCACTGTGCCTCCATCTGACGGAGCGTTTTCCTCTCGCTCGACACTTCAGCACGCTTCAGGATCGTGAACAGGCTTAGGGGAAAACATATGCAAGATGAGCTGTTGGTGTGTGTCCTGTGCAGTTACATAAAACAGCAGCAGAAGGTTCCCCCTTCAGTATATGCAGTAAGTAAGGATATGTCTATGTCAAGATAAAAGAAATTATAATATACATATATATATAAAAATTATGGTCCAGTCTTCACCTATCAAGTGCTATAATGTGGGCACTCAGAGCTATTCCAGGCTGCTGTGGGGTTGGCTTCCGGATGCTTGAGTCACTTGCATATCTGTATCAAAAGGCTTCTTCCATTTCACAATTAATTCATAGAAGTGTGAGCTCTGACAACAGATTGACAGGTTTCCTGATGCAAGCGTTCCTGCTTTTATTAGGAATCAGAATTGTGGAAGGCTTTTCTATGTTCTTTCAAATCAAATAATGTGTTTGTCAGTCCTACACAGAATAAGAATGTTAGTGAGACATTGGAAGGATAAATTATTTAATATTCTGCAAAATTTATTTCCTTCTCTGGAATAAATTAATGTGGTTCTTGCATCACTATTTATATAGATACTCCTATGTCATATTAACCTTGTAATCCATTTGCAAAACTGTAATCATAAATTGAGTTTCGAAGGATGCTAAACTAAGAGTTTATTTTCATAGGACCTAACCGCTTTAGAAGAGGGTTTGGACAACAACAATACAATCGGAGACAATTTAGGAATGGTGTGCCCGGTCCCAGGAGAAGAGCAGCTGCCGCATTAAATGGAGTGAGCCCTTTAAATCGCCAGCCATCGGCTCAAGAGGTAGGGGCCTAGGGAAGGTACAGCTGTTCCCAAATGTCATGTAGAAATCTGCTGGATTTTATGATCGTGGATTACCCCAAAGGAAAATCTGCATAAAATATTTACAGGCACTATCTTTTATATGTCTGTGCATAGCATTTGTATGCTTAGCTGAGTACAGATACATATGCATATAAAATAGTGATTTTCCAGTTGTTTTTATAAGCTTATGACTTGGCATAATTTTACTGAATCCGTTCCCATGGGTTTTACAAAAAAGATTTTTAAAAAATGTTAGAAGATTTAAAAATATTTCCATAAAAAAAAATTCCATGTCATCTCATCTTAGTATTATCACTCAGAGAAGGTACGTTAAGATTTGTTTGCTGTCCACCCCGAGCATTTTCCAAGGTCCAGTGAAGTAGAAGGACAGCCTGTTGTTGACTTCGGGTGACTTTGGTTCAGGGATATACTTTTCACTAACAAATGGGTATCCTCCTGAGAGACGCTGATTCCCAGTACTGTGACAACCATGGATCAGATTGCCCACGTGCTTAAGTGTAAACCACTTTTTTTTTTTTCATGGCTGTGCCTTTTTCAAATTTAAATGTCTAGGTCTTGTCTGCTCAAAAACATTTTTTTTTAAAAAAAGATTGAAATATTTCATTTGGGTTTTGAGTTATTTTTAAGACTCAAGAGATGGGAAGGAAGGGATGGGATCACCATTAAAGTAGTTCTTACAGGTTTTTTCTGAGTGTCACTAATATTAAACTGGCTTGGTGTAGAAAGTGGAAATCAAGCAGATAGTCCTCTGTGAGAGGTTTGGGTTTTTTTTTTCCATTCAATTAGGAGGTCACATACGCTCAGTAAGATTTAAAAAAAAACACCAAAGTGCCAAACATGATGGCACGTTTAATGACTGTGTGCTGAGGGTGTAAATAAGAGAGCCCTAAACTGAGCATGCATGTGCATGGAGTGTGGTTATTCCTGAAATAAAGACTGCAATGACTCAGATATTGAATGTGGCTGGATGTTAACAGAAAGTAATAAGCAGTTGCTAGGAGGCATAATTCTATGGTAGCTTCCATTTCACAGAAATAAACCAAGTGGGAAGAATGTGGAAACACATCTCAGTTAGTGGGTAGTAACGGTGGTGGTGGTTGTCCCACAGAAATAAATGGGATAGAGTCTGAGGCAGTTTGCATAAGTAACTGCAGGAGGACATACACTGCTGAGGGGTCTTCTGATGTTCTTCATGCTTCAGGGCTTGGAGCAGGCAACGTACATGTCCAAACAAGAAAGAGTCAATAACTGAAAAGAAACCTGAGCAAAGCTCTAATGCTTGGCTTGTGTGAGGTTTGCTCTCCATGAACTAATTTTTTGGGGTATTTCTGCACCATTAGAATGAAACATTCTTCCTGGTACTTGTAGTGTCATGCCCAGGAGCTGAGGCCCACATACTGATTGTTGACAACAGTGTATACCGACTCCAGATTTGAGACTACAGCAACACTGACTGCTCAGTAGAAGTATTCCTGCCATAGATACAAAAGACCATGGAAGAGACCAGATTTTGGTAGATTTAGCGAGGAATCAGTTTCCCATCAAGAAAATAGCAAAAGAAAAAGAAAAAAAACGCATGCAGAGCATGGTGGTTCTGCTGCAAGACTGCAGAAATTTCAAAGGAAAAACAGTTGGGAATGAGAATACGGGGAATGCAGAGCACACAAGTGTGGGGCTGAGCCCCCTTTGAAGCAATTGCAAGTGGCACTGAACGTGTCCAGGAGCAGCGAGGGAAGTGCCGTGGTGTCAGCAATCACCTCCTGCCCTTTGGAGCAGTCTGGGCTTCCCTCTAGACAGAGCCAAAGACAATGCCAAATAAACGCACTGGCTTTTCAGGCAGCAGCAGTCGGCGGAGGGAAGCACAGTCGTGTGCTCTCACTCGTGCTCACTCCCTCTTCGTGCACCGAGGTTGTGGCATGGGTGACAACTGCTGAGCTCTCACTGCTCTTTCAGGGCAACAAGAACAACGATGCTTTCTCCAAAAGCAGCAGCAGTGGGCAGCCAGAGGGACGGCGACGGCCACCCCCAGGCCCCAAGAGATTCAGAGCAGCTGCCGCCAGCACCCACACTCCGGGGAGAAGGTAAAATATTTGATAACTTTGGGCTTTCTTGGTTTTCCCTGTGCAGCTCCTGGGGCTCTGCTCTCAGTCTGTGCCAGCTGGGAGGGACTACACCTGTGTGCTCATGCGATGTGAGAAAAGTACCCCTGGGTAGGTTAGGAGGGCACCTAGAAATAAAACAACCTCGTGCTGATAGTTAATAATTCAGGTAGTAGAGCTATAATTTTATTTTAGAAAGCATAGAAAATGTGACCTTTGTATTTTTATTAAACCTTTATTAAACTCTGTCATTTTGGGGAAAACATTTGAATGGTGAAATAGCATTTATTTTCATAAAGGCAGGAAATACAGATTCTAGCTGTAAGGGATAGGCAGGGAGAGGGTGTCTGTCCTGGTGAGGGGTTGCAGAAGCAGGTGCTGTGCCCCAGGAGCTGTGACAAAGGCAGGCTGCCGGGCACTGGGCAGTCTCGGTGCCTGACTCACTGTGGTCCTTGTGTTCTCTGAGCTCGAAAGGAAGCTCTGTTGCAATCCTGTCTTTCTCTGTTCTGAGTAGAGCAGGGACGGAATGACCTCCAGAGGTCACTTCTGATCAGATTATTTTCTTCCATGATTTTTTTTATGAGCAGAGTTCAGAACACAAGCTGTTGTTTCATTTGAGCAGAAAAACGAGTTCCTCTGAAATCCTTTGCTCACAGAAAAACCCGTTGGGTGGAACTTGGTAGCACACAGCCTCATTTGCTTTTTAATACCACACTGGGTTAGGTAGTTCAGCATTAAACTTTAGGAGAGACCTGGCATTATACTCACCTATGTCCTTTTCTCTCTCCTCCTTTACCAGCAGGCCTTTCCTGCTGAACAGGGCACCAGCCTTCCAGCAGAAGCGGATGCAGCAGCGGTTCTCCAAAGCGAACTTTCAGAGAGGGGTCAGTATCGAGACATTTTTTCTGCAACCTGCTGATGGTGACAAGCCTTCAGTTTTACCAGCCTTTGCCCAGTTGTATCTTTGCTTCCAAAAGTGACTGGGAAAGATGAATGACTTTTAACAACGAATGTATTCCTAGGAAAGTGTTTGCAGGACAGGCAACTTTCAATGCAGCTTAATATTCTGGCAGCTGGAAAATAAAACCTGGGCAGGTGATAAAAGTAAACCTTGTAGTTTATACAGCATCGCACACACAAGGTAAAGTAAAGCCACCCCATACAGATCACTGTGCCAGCAGGAACCCCCAAATTAGCAAATTTCTTGACAACATGCAAGGGAAGAGCTATTCAAATACACCAAATCAAACACTGAAAAAGGAATAATTTTTTCTGAGAGCTAACTCTTTAAGTAATATTTTTAAAAATATATTTCAAAACAGATGGATGCTAACGGAGAAGGGAAACCACCAAGGATGAGAAGGTACTGGTGAACAAAGGCACGCTGCAAACACGAGATGCTCTTTCACATTCGAGTGGAAGCTGGATACATCTCCCTGTCTTGACAGGTGGCAAGTGAAACCCAGCCCTGGAGCAGTTCTGACGGTTTCTGTGGCTAATCCCCAGGCAGGCCAGACCAGCGCGTAAGTAAATGAGGTGATTTGTTAGGATTGGAGCCCTACAAAAGCCATTGCAAATCCCTTTAACATTATTGCAGTTTTGCTTCTTCCAAAATGAATGTACAGTGAATGGTTCAGACCCAAAATGATTAGCAAAATGGTGTCTCGTTCCCTTCCTGGCATATCTGAAAGGAGATGGCAATTACTGTGTGGCTCATTTGTTATCCAGAGTAAGGAGAAATGGAAGTGCCAGCAGCACGTGGGAGGTGGCGGGCTGGGTGTGCTTGCTGTGGGGTTTCATGGGGGAAATGCCACGCACCCCAGAGGGACACGGCATGCTCACTGTGTGAGAGGAACGCAGAGGCTGGAAGGGGGCAGCTTCACCCCTGGGCTGAGCTGGTGCAGCTGCAAGACGCAGCACCCAGCTAGGGGCAGAAAGAAGGACAAGTGAGGGCACTTGGCATGTCCTGGGTGCAGAGAGCACCCCATGGCAGCCTTGGTATGACACAGTCCCCAGTGCTGGAACTCTGCCTGCGCAGCAACTCTCCCGACACGCTTTAGACTCACCCCAGCTGCTGTGAGACATGCCATGGGACGTGTGGGGCATGCACGTGTTTCCTTTACTCCTTGCTGGTTTGCAGACGATAGGAAGTGAGCTGCCTTAGCATCCTGAGTGACTGCAGATCTGTGCTCTCCCCAGGCCTGGATCCAAGCGCCCGTTCCTGCGAAGTCAGAGGCCCCCGCTGCGGGCCACCAAGCCCCAGCCCAGGGGGGTGCTGCTGAGATTCAACTTCCGTGCAATGGCCAACCAGGTAGAGGAGTGTCGACGGGACAGGCAGCACTTTGCACCCTGCAGCAGCACTGCCACTAAGCTGTTAACGTCACGCACAGGTTTTTGGGGCTGCCAGTTGGGTTTATCTAGCATAACCCGGGAGGAGAGTCCTGTAGCCATGTTGGCTAGGTTGCTCACAAAACTGAAGGCACCTGAGAAGACTGTTCAGCAGTTACAGACTCGGCCCAATTTTCCCCACTCTTTTGGCCCCTCTTGGCCTCTCCATGTGCTTGCTTGGAGCGGGGAGATGCTGCTTCTGAGTGGTCCTGGCCGGGGGGGACCATTTCACTGTCGGTGCTCCCCACTCCTCAGAGACACAGAGCACTTCTGGGCTTTGCTCTCTCTTTGCTTTGGTGACTTCCTCAGTGCCACGTTTTACGCTGAAATATGGTCCAAGAGCCCCTGGGCAGGTCGGAAATCCTGCTCCACCTTCTTCATTGCCGGCGTTTCTTGTCTGGACGGTTTGGTTTTACTTGATGCCATGTGCTCAAATGCCATCTGCTTGCTCCTGTTCTTGCTGAGGATGCCCGGTGTCTTGGGGCTGGGCGCTGCTTGGAGGTTTTCCAGCCACACACAGTCTGTTGAGCTCCGTGTCTCCGTGTGCTGAGTGGTTTAATTGACTAACTGGCTGTGAAGCACCGTCCTGATTGATGGGCTCTAATCAATACCCCGCTACAAGTTTGGCCGTGCTTTGCCACGAGACATGAGACTGACTCGCTCTCCCTTTCCCCTGCAGACCAGCCTGACACTGGATGAGAGGTTCTCTGGTCTGAGGAATAAGAGGCGCTTTACAGCAGCCAGGAACGCCGGCCGGACGGTCACCATGCCTTAGCACCACATGCTCTTCACAGGGACTGCCCATAACAGTCCAGGCCCCATAACGGGCAGCTCAATAAAACTCGATAGATTTCCTCTGAGATATAGCTAATTTGGCAATGTGCCGTCTCCTTCCTTCCATGCCGAATGAATGAGCGATTGAGGGCAGGGATGAGGCAGGACGAGAGTTGAGGCCAAAGCGCAGGGCAGGTGGGATATGAGCAGGTTGGTGGAGGGCGATGAGCAGAGATGGATTTGCTGGGAGCACTCTGCTGGGGAGCCATGGGACTGGCACCAGCCCTGTCCCCCTGCCAGGGCACCCTGTGCTGCCTGCGGTGACTGTCAAGAGGGAAGGGGGACCAGCTCCAAGCCATACCTGTGGAGCCTTCCTTACATCATCCCATGGGTGGGACAGGGCTGAGGACACTGCCTGCCCACATGGGAGACAGAGCGGGGAGCGGAGCGTGTGCGGGGCTGAAGGATGTGCCCCAGCAGTGGCAGCAGTGGGGATGCTCCAGCTGCCCACATTCCCCAGCATCCACCTAACTGCCTGTTTTGCTGTGCGTGCAGGCATCCCTGCCTGGAGGTTTGCAGTGTAAGACCCCTCCATCCTGAAAATGTCTCCTTCTGCCCTGATAGTCAGGCCTGAGCACCTTGCATTTCTCTTTGGTTTGCCGTGCTGTTCTGACTGCTGCTGCCGGCCCAGTTGCAGGGACGGGGTGAGACGTGCCTTGCCGAGCTGCCAGCGTGACTGTCCTTGGCGTGGAGCACAGACAGGCTGCCCCAGCTCAAATCAGGTTTTCCAGTGCTGCAGTAGTTCTGCATTAGGGATTTTGTAGGTGCAGCTCCACCCATGCTCAGAGCACTGGCATAATCGAACTAGCAGCTGGAGGAGGGAGGCCAGGCTCTACAGCAGTCCAATAAACATTGGCTGAGATGTTAATGAGCTGGGTCTAGACATTTGTTAACGAAGTCCTGCACCAGTCCTGAGTCACTGATCCATTCTCCACTCTCTGCTGCAACCCAGCACTGAATGCACTGGACACAGCCTGTTACTGGGCTCTAAGCTATACTTACTAAAGTAAATATTTGATAGACTGCTTTACATTTTACACTGAGCGTCTTTAACAAGAGACTGGACTTGGTGTTGGTTTTATAGGAATGTGTGAAACATTGTTAGTTGACAAAGCATTGATGTACGAGTCCAATGCACTGAATAAAAACCTAACTTGTCAAATGTCACCTCTGGTTATTTCCCTTCCTTCAACGGGCTTTTGGCACAAGTTCAGCCTCTCAGCATGGCACTACGGGGCACAGTATGTGTGGCCACATGGGCTGCCACCTCGGTGCTTTGGGGGAGGCTGTGGCTGCCGTCGGTGCCCTCCGGCGGGCAGTGGGGCACTGGACTGGCCACGCAGGCGGTTTACTGCTCGCAAAGATAGCTCCAAGCACAGCTAAAGTGGTGGGAGGTTTTCAATTGATATTTTGTAAAATCTTCGCTGTGATGTCTTTTGCCTTTAATGTTATCGGCAAAATTGTCAGAGCAGACCTGACTCTGAGTGTGTCCAACGTGAAACAAATGCAAACTGACTTCCAGGTTAATGAACTTGGGAGAAGAACATCACCCCTTCATGCAAATAATCCAGATGTCATGGAAGATGAACAAGAAACACTGTCACAAATGGCTATATCCCTGGTTTCAGTTACACCTTCGCTATAAATATTGACAAAAGGTGGTAGATTCGCTAAGAGAACCTTCTTAAACCAAGTTACGAAGGGATGGAGCCGTTCAGTCCTGAATGAACAGCTGAACGTGCAGCATCCCATTGGTGTTCAGAGCATGCCCTGGTATTGTTCTCCAAATAGATGTTTTTCAGCAATCTGTAACTTAACAAATTTTTAAGTTAAATTGAAATTGAGGGCTTAATGATAAAAAATACACTTTCTTTCTATTATGATTTCCCCACAGGGCTGGGTGACTTTGCATGTAACAAGAGACGAAACAGGCTTTGCGCAGAAGGGCACTGAATTTGTAAGTGGCTAAAAAGCATAACCATCGTGCTAAAAACATACTGGGAGAGAGCGCAGTCAGTTCACTCCAACAGGCATAAAATACCCCTTTCTGCCACAGTACTAAAACCACAGGATAATCATCTCTAAAATTATCCCTGCTGTCGTGCGTAGGGAGAGCTGCTGCACCGAGCCCGGCTGCTCTTTGGGGAGAGTGTTTGAGTGTCGCAGTTCAGCACGCTGCTTTAGCCATCGCCCGGGAGATGTGTTTGTCCAGTCTGGCCATTTCTGGCGGTTTGCACGGAGTGTCCGGTGCCGCAGAGGCGGCCCGGCGGTCCCCTACCCGGAAGGTGGCAGCAGCTGGCTGATGCCCGAGCCCCCTGCCAGGATGGCTGCTCAGGCTGGGGCCACCGGCAAGGGGCAGCTGTGCAACCTGGAAAACATTTTTACTCTATTTCAGGCCAGCCAAAGCCATTTCCAGAATGATACCTCTGATGGTGTCTGAGAGGTTTGAAAATGTCAGAGCAATGTTACGGGGTCAGAAGAGAGTCCCCGCAGCGCATCCCAGGGGAACAGGGACACTGCCACGGCGTGTGGCCCTGCTCCAACACTGCACTGAACCCAGAGTGCCAGTGATTTCTTCCTTTAATCACTTGTACCATTGTGTTTGACAGCACTAGGTGGGGTTTTCTTCCACTATTGCTTTTTGCTGCTCCCTTTCTATTTGTCTGTGCCTCCAAAGGCTGGTATTACGAGTGAATATTCATTCCTTTATGTTCTTTGCGATTTATAGACTTGTGCTGTGTTCTCCCTTGCTCACCTCCTTTCTAGGTGAAGACCCTCAGTGTGTCTGCTTGTCCACTGCCTGGAAGCTGATCCATCCCTCTGGTCACCTTTGTACCTTTTCTAGCTCTGCTACATCTGCCTGAGACCGCAGGGCTGAAGCAGACACGATATGTGAGATGGATTTATAGGGAGACTCTGCTTTGTTTTCTGTTCCCCTCCTAATAATTCCTAACATTCCAGTTGCTTTTTAACCCACAATAGCCACTTAGAGAAGGAAATGGTAAGGCACATTTATATTGGTTTAATGAAACAAGTTTCCAGGGAACATTTTCTGCTGAAGCTGGACTTGCAGCCAACATATCAGTGGCAGAGAGGGCACCTGGAAAGGCTGGCTGCAAGAGGATGTGCCCAAGGGTCTGCCTTCCCATCTAAGCTGATGTTCGGTATTTTCTTAGCGTTCACAGGATGTCTGGTTTGATGCTAAAAGCTACCTTTAATGAGCTTAACAGATAGTGGGTAGAAGGCCAACTTTTCCTCTGAATTTCCCTCTCTCTCAGTTCTTGCTGATTTTAGTGTTGTATGACCAGGAAGAGATGTACATCGGGTTACTCCCTGGTATTTTAGCACACTCATATTGCCAAGCCAGCACAGGACAGGGTCCCAAAGTGGTGCCCCAGGAACAGCATGGCAGTAGGGGCCTCAAGAATAAAAATACATGGTTTGGGGCAGAGCCGTTGGTCAAATCCATCCTGGTAAAAAAGTAGGAGCCAAGACATCACACGTGGGGGCTGCCAGTCCCTTCTGCATTGCACAGGGGTCCTCGTGCCAGTGTTTGTCAGACTGGCTGCAAAACAGGCAGGCAGGGCATGAACTTGCTGCCTGGACTTGAAGGTGCAGAGGGGAAAGCCTGCTGTCAGCAGCAGGAGTTGTTAGTTTTTAGGGGTCCTTGGAGGGATTCAGACATCCAGAAACTACAGGCAAAATATTTAAACAGAAACCTGAGATCTAAGCAGCATCTTGGGCAATACGGTTAAAATGAGCTACAAGCAGAGCATTTGCCAGGCAGCAGCCTAGTAAAAAAGAGACTCATAACGAGCTGAGAAAAGGCACACAACCCCCTAGACTGAAATGCAAGGAGTGCCTCAAACTGGACCCCAGACAGCAAAACAGCCTGGAGGCAGGGG